CTCCTCTTTTGAGGTTTCCCTTCAAAAATCTGATGTTATCAGGACAGCTTCTTTTTTAGGTCTTAATTCTTTTTATATCCAACCTTTGTTGTTTTTTGGTTGTTGTTATTCCATAATTGAATCTTTTTCTTTTAATAACTGAGTTTATTCCTTTTATATTCACTGATCTAGAAATATTTGCCTTAGTTTTGTCATCTTCAGTTTATGCTGCATGGTCTGTGTTTTTCCTTTGTGTATACATGTTTTCTGATTCAATTAGGATATTTAGAGTCTGGCTTTAGTTTTTCAAATGTTTACTTTAAGAATATTAATCAAATGCCCAACTTGATTTATCAGCTTTCGAGGATATCTGTTGAGACCCTGCTGATGAAACTTACACATGTATTTTCTTCTTCCTTAGTATCTCCCAATTTCAGTTGTTACTTCTAGAATTTACACATATATTTCTTCTTCCTCTTCACATCTCAATTTTAGTTATATTATGTTTTCCAGAATATTATATTCTGTTCTTTTTTTTTTTTTTTTTTTTTTTTTTTTTTTTTGAGACAGAGTCTCACTCTTTTGCCCGGGCTAGAGTGAGTGCTGTGGCGTCAGCCTAGCTCACAGCAACCTCAAACTCCTGGGCTCAAGCGATCCTCCTGCCTCAGCCTCCCAAGTAGCTGGGACTACAGGCATGCGCCACCATGCCCGGCTAATTTTTATATATATTTTTAGTTGTCCAATTAATTTCTTTCTATTTTTAGTAGAGACGGGGTCTCACTCTTGCTCAGGCTGGTTTCGAACTCCTGAGCTCAAACAATCTGCCCGCCTAGGCCTACCAGAGAGCTAGGATTACAGGCGTGAGCCACCGCACCCAGCCCTCTGTTCTCTTTTAATGCCCTTAGCTGTTTAGCTTCATTTCTACATTTACATGGACAGAATGCTATTATTTCTTATCTACCATAGCTGCTCCATTTCTTTGTTTTTTCTTTTTATTTCTTTTAGAGACAGGGTCTTGCTCTGTCATCCAGGCTGGAGTGCAGTGGTGCAATCATAGGTCACTATGACCTTGAACTCCTGGACTCAAGTGATCCTCCTGTCTCAGCCTCCCAAGTAGGTGGGACTACAGGCGAGTGCCACCACACCCAGCTAATTTTTTTGTAGAGACAGGCTCTTGCTATGTTGCCCAGGCTGGTCTCAAACTTCTAGCCTCAAGAGATCTTCCTATCTCAGCCTTCCAAAGCGCTGGAATTACAGGCGTGAGCCACTGCACCCAGCCTCCAATTCTGAGCTCTTTATTTTGGTTTGTCTCTTGGTTTTATGATTATGTCCTTTTTTTAAAAAAAGAACTCCTTTACAAAGAGAAATGAAGTTATATTACTTTCGGTTCTCACATGTTTGAAAATATATATCCATCTGTGTCTTTATGTGTGAATGCCATCTTGGCTTAATATAAAATTCTTAGTTATAGGATTTATTTCTCTGAGAAAGTTGTAAACATTGTTTCATGGTCTTTCTTATTCAGTTTTACCGTGGAGGTATCTGAAGAAAGGCTGACTTTTTTTTCCCTTGTCTGGTGACTTGCATTTGTAAAAAATGGAAAAAAAATACCCCAAAACTCTAAATAAACCTTTATTCATCCTGAATTCCAATAAAATCACAATGCGTATCTGGGGTCAATCACTGCTCACTATCAGTATTTCCTGGATATGGCATGATTTCTGATCTTTCATATTTAGATTTTCTTTTATTTCAAAAAACCTTTGGCATTATCTTTGAACATTTTTTTCTATCTGTATGTTCTGTTTAATACATATCAGTCAGATCCCTTTTGCTTTCCTTACATATACCTTCTTTTCTTCTTTTTTTTTTTTTTTATCCTTCCTAGTCATTCTTTATTGCCCCTCAACAGAATTCCTCTTTTCCCCCTCCCATATCCCATTTTACCAGAAAGGTCTATAAACTTTTGAACCCACTGGGGAGTTGAATCTTCATTTTCTGAGGGTTTCCAAATATATACGTTAAAATAAATTTGTATAGTTTTTCTCTTATTAATCTGCTTTATTGTGAGTTTATTTTTCAGCAAACCTTCAAGGGTGAAGGATAAGTTTTCCCTTTGACCCAGCAGTTGCAAGTTTATGGTTTAGAACTAGGTATTTCTCTAGGTTCAAATACAAGCTCTGTTACCAAAAGTTCAGCACTTGTCCCTGAGGCTGCATCAGAAGAAGGAGGACAACTGGTTTGAGGAGAAGGAAAGATAAGTTTATTAATTTGCCGGCTAATGAGGATGTTGGCAGACTCCCATCTTAAAGTACCAACGTCCTCCCCTAATTTTCTTTGGGATACTTTTTTTGATTCTTTCTATTAATTTTACTTGATCTTTCCAAGCCTTCTTCCTTGTCCCTATATTTTCTTAATGAAAGTTAAAAAATACACATCCACAAAATGATTTTAATACTTATATGGAATTGCACTGTATATGTGTAGTATAATTTCTGTTTTTGAGACAGGGTTTGGCGCTGTCACCGACTAGAGTGCAGTCATGTCATCATAGCTCGCTGCAACCTTAAACTCCTGGGCTCAAGCAATTCTCTTGCCTCAGCCTCCTGAGTAGCTGGGACTACAGGTGTGTGCTACCGTACACGGCTAATTTTTTGTATTTTATGTGGAGACAGGGTCTTGCTATGTTGCTCAGGCTGGTCTTGATGGAATTCCTGGCCTCAAGTGATCCTCCCACCTTGTCCTCCCAAAGTGACAGGATTACAAGCCATGCAGTATAACTTTATTAATCTTCCCATTAGATACTTTGTCTCCAATTTTTTGCTATTATTAACATCCACATATGTTCTTAACTATAGCAGTGTGGCTTCATAAGATCAGTAAACAAACCCTAATTCCTAGCATGGAAACTCAATGCCAAGAAACTTTAAATAATGCTTATGAATCCATTTTCCTGTCTTGTCTTCTGAGGAAGTTATGCTTAAGATACTCAATGCATAATGAATGATTTTTAGGGTTTCTAGGTCATTGTCATAAAAATGATACCCCACGTTTGTGGCTAAGCAGATTAAAGCAATCTCTAGATTAAAGAAAGTGGGCCAGGTGTCGTGGCTTACACCTATAATCCTAGCACTTTGGGAGGCTGAGGCAGGAAGACTGCTTAAGGCCAGGAGTTGGAGACCAGCCTGTGCAAGAGAGAGACCCTGTCTCTACAAAAAGATAGAAAAATTAGCTGGGAGTGGTGGTGTGCACCTGTAGTCCCAGCTCTACACCAGAGGTTGAGGCAGGAGGATTGCTTGAGCCCAGGAGTTTGAGGTTGTAGTGAGCTATGATGATGCCACTGTATTCTAGCCTGGGGGGACAGAGTGAGACCCTATCTCCCAGGGGAAAAAAAAAGAAAGTGGTTTGGTGATGGCTTATTCAGCACTCTCAAAAAAGATATTAAAGACTTAATGGTACAGGTACAAAATGGTACAATCTATAATACATAGAGGACTATCCGACATCATCTGTTGGGCTGGGCTGAATATTTTCTGTTTATCCCTCCAGATCTACTCTTCCCCTAGGCTGTGCCCCAGGAGGCTGACCTAAATAGACCACATCATTGAGCTCCCTTTTCTTCTGATTTCTGATTTGAAGTCAATGTGAGACACTAGCAGGATACTGAAGGTTATGAATAGAATGAAGTTGGGTATTTATTCTAGCAGCTCCCTCTCAGCTGAGTTGCCACTGGTTGGCTACATCCCGTTATTGAAGGTCACAGGTCCTGTCAGGTGACCCTCTTCATATAGCTATTGTCTTTGGGTTCTGGTGATGGTTTCATCTCCTTGTCCCTTTAGGCCTACAGATGAAAATGGCTCCCTACTGTTGCCAGTTCTGGGTGTCTGCATCATTTCTGTTTCTGTGAAACTCTTACATCTTTGCAAACTCTTTTTAGATACCTAGTTTGAGTATGTTGTTTGCTACACTTCTAGGAATTTGTCTTATATATAAGATGATTCATTGCAACATTATAATTTCTACTAGTGAAATATTAGAAATAATAATATCCATCACCACAGGACTGTAAAATAATGATATAACTATGCAGTGGAACATTATGCATCTGTAAAAAACTATCATTCATTAGACACATCTATGGAATAATCTCTAATACACTGTTAAGTATGGAAAAATCAAGGTATCAAACAATAAATATATGCTGCCATTTGTGTAAGAAAAAAGGAAATAACAAAAGAATGTATATGTATTTCCATATATATGGAGTAAGAGTCTTTGGAAGGGTATATAAGAACATGATAATACTGGTTGCCTCTGGGGAGAATGGGACAGTAGGAAACTTCTTACTATTCTTTTTGTTTCTTTGAATATTACATCATATGCATACTGCCTATTCAAAAAATGCATTACATTAATGATAAGCCTTAGAGAAACAATGACTAAGGAAGAAATTAGAGGAATTGCTGAAAAAGTCACTAGAAGATGGTGAAAAAAGTCAGCAAATTATAGAGTTACTGAAATCCAAGCAGTCAAATTCCTGGATAATTTAATTTCTTAACATGGTCCCTTTATGGAATTATGCCCTGACTAGTATTAATTATAGGTAGAAGTTACTTCCTGTACTGAGTTGAATGCACAAAACCATGTATGATAAAGATTTGCTTTAAACATGATCATTTTTATTATTTAAAGGAGCTTCAGTTCCTTTAGTCTCCTCCTCTAGCTACAGGATTTATTGATACCACTAAAATAGCAGTGATGACTGCTCAGTGATCTTGGTTTCCAGTGAAAAGTACAACTCCATTAAAGGAAATGGGGCATGAGAAGACTTTGTCAGGAAATTAGAGAAAAGAAGACTGCTGGGGAAAATACTCATTTAACTAAAGTTGGTTAAAAAATCATATTTTTATGCTACTCAAAAATGGAAAAAATAGAAAGGGATTTTTTTCAGGTGGTTTTAATATCCTTGACATCGGCATCCCTGTTAAAAAGTTCTATAAGACAAAGGGAGACTCACTCACCCTTCTTGGAACTGCGCTTGTGCGGATTCCTCTGCAACAAGAGTCTCATACTCCTCAGCAGCAAACCGGTCCCAGTCAGAGGGCTCAGGCCCCTCGTTTTCAACATCCTGATTGGAAAGAGGGCAACCACAGGAAATAAAAATAATCAAAGACAAAGAACTGGAGATAGATCATCACATATGTTGTATACTGCTGAAGAAAACCTATCTGAAAAGTGTTTCATTTCAACATGTTAAAACAAGTGTTAAGGTAACACTCCCAAGGTGATTTTTATACCTCAAATCACAAAATTATAACATTTAGCAGCTAGATTTTTTAGGCCTAGATTCTTTAGCCTTGTATTTAGAGACCTTTCTCCAGTCCTCTCTCCCCTGGCACTTTGCACAGCAGCTGTCTGGAGTGACTTGTGGTTTGCATATGCCCACCTGAAATGTACCTTCCCCATACCCCTGGTTCTCCAGCAAATTTTACTGTCTCTTTAAAAGCTAGCTTAGATACCATGTCATCTGTGATATCTTCCACGAAACAGCCCTTCTTTCCCAAATCACTTCCTTCTCTCTATTGTAGATGCTTTGGTTGCCGTCTTTTGCTCTTGTGTCGTCATCTCCATATTCCCAGTATCTCTTCAACACATTGCCTGGAATTTATTGAGCACTTTCTGACTAATAACATTCTTCGCAGATCAGAACAAATGTCAATAATTGCCATCTCTTATAAAAGTAAAAATTAGAAATGAAGGGGGAAAAAACTAATACATTTTCTTTCCCTTCTACAATGCCTTAGATTATACGTTCCAGGTAAAATGTCTTTCCAAACGGAAAATGAGTTAGTATCGTCTTAGGGCCCAGGGTCAGTTATGCCTAGAAAAATGTTAAGTACCTAAATATTGAATATACAGTGTGTTAATTACTACATTTAATCCATTTTAATACCCTCTCCACCCTTTTAACATTTCTGAAATTGCCATGCATCTTAGACTTAAAATTAGCAATGTTTTGGGGTTTTATTGCTTAGAGGAATGTAAAATAATGGGGCATGTTAAATTCAGTGATATATAATATTGACGTTAGGCCACCAATGACATACCTTGATATGTTCTGAGATCAGCTGCAGAGTATTTGTTTTTAGAAGGTGATATGATATTCTTACTATTTGGGTCAAACAGTTAAGGAACATGTAGAAGAAAAGAAGACTACAAAAGCTGCCTGTAGTTGTACAGTCACTATCGAAACAGTCCTTTTCTATCAACATAATTAATTTTTATTTCTTAAACAGAGGGATGGTAAAAGCAAATGGTGGTACTCTGTTTATGGTTTCTGGACATGGATCATATGTCCAGGGTTTTCTGAGGGTTCATGGTTTTTGTGTATGGTGAAGGGTGCTCATCTTTATTCAGAGGCAGAATGACATTCAAAACTGATAGCCTTGCACAGCAATCATTAATACTTGAAAAAGTGGTATATTATACGAGAGCTATCTATCACAGAGAGCTTCTAGTTTTCATTATGATGGGGAAAGCTATTTACCATGGATTCCTTGTAACTGAATGGTATAATTAAATCAAGGTCAATATAGTTTTTAATACAAATATGCCTATTGATACATTTTTAAAAGTCAGGAGAACACATTTTTTTAAAAAATACTTTTTGTAACTGGTTTCTAATGTGGAAAGTGCTTAGGCAGATGTGGGTTACCGAAACTTGAAGATTAGCTGTGGGGAGAGATGTGCTCTAGGTCTTTTTTCCTCTATTTTCAGTATTTGATGAAATGTTTTAAACATTACTTCTTTAAATACTGAGATTCCTACATGCATTTATTTATTTATTTTTTTAGAGACAGAGTCTCACTCTGTTACCCAGGCTGGGGTGCAAAGGAATGATTATAGCTCACTGTAGCCTCAAACTCCTGGGCCCAAGTGATCCTCCTGCCTCAGCCTCCTGAGTAGCTGGGACTACAGGTGTGTACCACCATGCCTGGCTAATTTATCTCATTTTTTGTAGAGATGGGATCTTGCTATGTTGCCCAGGCTGGTCTTAAACTCCTGACCTCAAGTGATTCTCCCGCCTTGGCCTCCCACGGTGCTGAAATTATAGTCAGGAGACACTGCGCCCAGCCTAGAGACCATTTTAATATTAATATGAAGCACACAGCCCTGATACTGCAATCCTCAAATAGAAGTTAAAATTATACTGGTACCTTCTGGACTGCAAAGGGATCTCTCTGTTCATGGTCTAAGTATTTCTCCAGATTAAAGAAAGTGTCATAGAAGATGTGAGCCATTCTGCACCTCTTCAGATCTCTTAGGGTTATTTTGCCTACATAAAAACAAATCCGGTACATTTCATCAAGAGCTGTTTTGGAAAGAGAAAAAAATCCTTAAAGTCTAAAAGTATATGTATATGTTTATTTTATTATAAAAATCCCATTTCTTTTTTTAAGTTAAGGTAAAATTCACATAACATAAAATTCACCATTTTAACCATTTTAAAGTGCATAGCTTCTGGTACACTCACAATGTTATACAACCATCACCACCACTATCTGGTTCCATAACATTATCATCACCCCAAAAGGAAACTCTGTACCCATCAAGTAGTCCTCTCTTTATTTCCCCTCACCCCCAAGCTCCTGGCAACCACTAATCTGCTTTCTGTCTCTATGGAAAAAATCCTATTTTTTTGTTTGTTTCTTTTTTTTTTTAAGAAATTAGGTCTAGTTATGTTGCCCAGGCTGGAGTGAAGTAGCTATTCACAGGTGCATTCATGGTGCAATCATAGTGCACTACAGTCTTGAACTCCTGCCTCAGGCTCCCACGTAGCTGGGACTGCAGGCATACCACGCCCAGAGAAAAATCCTATTTGTTAAACGGTGGATTTGCCATCAATTGCCAGTTCTACATTAATAGTCAAGGAGAAACTTTAAATACTTCTGTACTTGGGAGGCTTGCATGGAAGACTCTGGAAAGTAGATCATTTAGGGCGATCTAGAATTACGTGCCCCACTTTGTTACTACACAGGTGAACAGTGCAAATGTCCCTTTACTCTGTCTCACCATCGCTGGCTGGCTTCACCAAGTCAAGCATCTGGCACAGTAAATCATGGAATGGCAAGGGCTCAATGCCCATGGCCTCCATCCGTTCACACTGCTCCTCGTAGAAGTACTCCAGCTCGTACATGGAGAGTACACCATCTCCATCCACGTCCATGCAGCGGAACCAATACTCAATGCTAGGAGATAAGGACACTCATTATCATGGGCCTGGTAAAGATCTTTTATTTGCCCAGATTTACTACTGCCCCTGTTTCTTTTTAAATAAGAGTTACATACATGTATATGACTTAGACATAGTTTTACCAAGTTTGTTAGAGAAAATGGCAGACTCCTTCTTCCCTTTATTTTACCATCCCAGAAGCAACCATGTTTAACAACTGATTATTTTTCTTTTCATCTTCATATTTTCAGATAACATGTCTGTTACTTTCTTATATTTCTGTTTTAATAACTGTATTAATTTTACACTATGAAAGATGAGGTTTTAGATCTTTACCATTTCCCAACACTACATGCCTTTCCCATCCTCTTAATATAAATTGTTCAACATTCAGAGTTGTTTATAATTTTATTTTTCTTTTATCTTGTATTTACTTAGTTTTCCACGTATTTGTTAATAGTTCAACTCTCAAATCTCTGCCAGTTGTCTAAATCCATACTCAGTCCCATCAAGTATGCTACCAATTGTATGTTCTTGATAAATTTTACTGTGGTTCCTCTGACCTGCTCTAATCTGAACTGCTAGGTCTCTAGGCTTAGTTCACAGTTTCATCTAAGGATTCCTTTCTCCTATTTCTTGTATCTCACATGTTCCTCATTCTTTTTTTACTTCCTTGTTTGATGCAGCACATTAGCTAGTAGCTTCTTGAAAAGAGAGCATGGCAGGTAAATTTTTTGAGATCTTGGATCTTTCTGAAAGTACCTTTTTTTACTCTCTAACTTGGTTGGTATTTTGGCTAGTTACAGAATTAAAGGTTGGTGGTGCTTTTCTTTCAGATTTTTAAAGGCATCGATACATTTTCTTCTATCTATCCAGTGTTGCAGAGAAATCTAAAGCCATGTTGAGATCTGATCCTTTGACTGTAACCTGTTTTTTTCTCTTTGAAGCCTGCAGAGGTTTCTCTGAGTCTCTGGTGGTTTGAAATATCATGATGAAGTGCCTTGGTCTGGATCCAACTCATCTATTTGGCTGTGCTTTCTGAGAATCTATTCAGTTTGGAAACTAGTAACCTTGAGTCCTTGGAAATTTTCTTAAATTATTTTATTTTTTGCCTGCCCTCTTCCTCCTCACTAATTCTCCTTTTTTAGAACTCCTGTTATTCAGATCTGTATTGTCCAATATGGTAGCCACATGTGGCTTTTGAGCATTTCAGATGTGGCTAGTCTAATTTGAGATGGTTTCTAACTGCAGATTTTGAAGACGTAGTATGAAAAAAAGAATGTAAACATCTTATCAATATTTTATATTACATGTTGCAATGATAACATTTTAGATAGGGTAAGATAGATAACTGAAACTAATTTTACATATTTCTTTTTACTTTTTCATTATGGCTAAATTTTAAAATTACATATGTGGCTTGTATCATATTTCAATTTCTAGTTATATTAGACTTTTTGGCCTGGTTCTCCAATTTTCATATCTTATCTCTATTTTCTACCACTTCATCTTTTTAAAAATTGTTCTTTCTGTGAGGTTTACTTAGCTTTACCTTCTAAACATTCTGTTTTTTATTTCTGCTATCATAGTTTTGATTTCCCAGAGTTTTTTTTTTTTTTAGTTTCCTGAATGTTCCTTGTATAAAATTTTTTTTTTTTTTAGTTTCCTGAATGTTCCTTGTATAAAAAGTACTATTTTGTTCATGTTATGTGAATGTAATTTCTTCTCATATCTCTGAGATATTAATCACCATTTTTCTTTTTTGTTGTTGTTAAAAGTTTTCTTTTCCCTGCAAAGTCTCTGGTTCATCTAGGTTACCTATCCCCCAGCCCCCACCCATTTGTTTTGGTCTCTGTCTTTTATGTGAGGCTTTACTCAGGTATCTAGTGATGCTTTATTTTCTGTTCATATTTAAGAATAGGTGCTAAAAAGCTGATTAGAAGTTCTATCTGTGGGATTGTTGACTCTGAGCTTTACTGTAAAATGATCTGACTGGGTTCCTTCCTTGGGGATAACACAATATCAAATCTTTAGGTCTTTATTCTTGGGCTGGTCAGATTCCCTGGAAAAACATCTTCTAGTTGGAGGATCAGGGCAAGCTGACTGTAAGTTGGGTGAGGAATGAAGACTGGACATCCAGCATTTAGTATGCATGTACTAATTTAATCTGTTTTCAATATGGCATCCATACCTTCAACAATGCTCACTCTCCCCAGTAGACAGGGTCTCTATTTTATACTTTCCAGGGAATAAAGCACCAGTTTTATGCCAGGGTAGAGGACATGATCTAGAGACTGTTTCTTTAAACAAATTTTCTGCAAACTCTCCTGTGTTTTTGGCTTTACCTTCACATTACCCCTACTTCCAAGGTTCCTGGTACCCCTGAGTCCTGAATGTGTAGAAGTTTTGCTGGGTATATCTGGTTGCTTCTTGTTTTTTTCCTCTGCTGGCTTAGGATTTAGGTAGTCTGCTAAGTTTATTTGTTTTCCAGTTTCTAAACCTCTTTTTAAAAAAATCTCTTCTACTATTTCCTTTATTATCGTGGGTTTATTCCTTAAAAAAATCTCTTTACTGGCATTTTAGTGGGGTTTCAAGAGGAATGAAAATTACTAAGTGTGGTTAAGTTGCTATCTTCACTCAGAAACCTATTCACTCTTTATTATGGCCACTTTATCATATAGCACTGTCACTTAAGAGTAGCATCTATAGCTGTGTCATCAATTAATAACAGAATATGAAGCCAACAGTATTAATTGGTAATAGGGAATAATATTTTTCTAGAGACATAAATTCATGGTGAAGTAAAACTTATCAAGAGAAGATTCTAGGAGACCTTTGGTCAAATTCCCATTTGTAAGCCTGAAGCCATATTAAGAACCACCACACATTTAATGGTTTCTAAAAATCTCTTTTGGGGAGAGAAAGGTGAAAATAACTAAGTTGTGACTATTAACTGTTTTCAATTAAGTCACCCTAAGATCTGTCTGTACCTTTCCTAAGAAGATAAAAATTGCATCATTCTAACAAATTGAACAAGTGATACTTAAAAAGTTCTTTTAAGAAATATATTTTAAAAATTGTACCAGCTTGATATTTAATGTTACCATTAAAGAACAGAAAGGACGTTGACTAGGTCCAATGAGAGTAAGGTAATAGTTTGGCCGTGGTGGGGTCCCATCATAACTTATCTACTCCCATAATTATAAAAGGGGCAGCACTTTGAAACAATCTCTCATTGTGGGAAAAACCTGGAAGAGATAGATCTCATAAGCAGAGGGCTGCAATAAATGGAATACTATCTAGTGGTTATACCATTATGTCATTTTTCTCTTTTTTTTAGTAATAATTGTTTTAGTACAAAAGGAGCAATGGACTGTCCTTTGGTCTCTAAGAGCTCCTGGTGTCTTGAAATTCCTTATTACTTATCTTAAGAGAACCAAAATTAGGCCAAAAGGAAGAAAGTAAACCTTGATTTTGACAGGGACCTGTCAAAACCTTGATTTTGACAATAGGAATGAAGTGAAAGGCAACTTATTTTACTGAGAAATATAACCTCAAGTATGTTAGCCACTTGCATATTCAATTAAGAACTAAGACTCTTTTGAGTCTATACAATTAGTAAAGGTAAAGCAAAACACTTCCGTTCTTTGTAATAGCTCGTAAGAGAGGAAGAAAGCTAGACTGCAAAGAGATAGATACATTGCTTGAATATTTGCCAAAGATAGCAGCCTCGAAATCGGAAAGAGGTGGTAGATAAATGAGATGTAAATCTGTGAATATTAGAGAGCATAAGGATCAACATACAAAAGAGAGATGTTTTTAGTCATAGACCTAGAAAAATGAAACAGGCTGCCTCAGTGGATAGTTATCGGTGCCTGAAAAGTTTAGAAGCAAGGGCTAAATAGATGGTTAAACATATGTAGGACATGTTCAGAGGGAATTTTCTTACTGGAAGTACTGAATACTCTCTAAAGTTTTTTCCAATGAAGATATTCTATTTTTTTTCTTATGAAGGTAACTTATCTTCTCAGAACCTAAAGTAATGACCACATTGTAGCACAAGTGGAAAACAGAAAAGCACACAAAAGGAATAACTATCCGGAGAGAACCAGTGTTAAATTTTTGCTATATTTACCACCAATTTTTGGTTTTTCAAAGCATAAAGCATTAATGACAAATTGTAAAACTGTAGACATAAACCAGATTACTTCTTGCCCTTGTTCTTAGACTGGATGAAATTAAGTTGTGGACCAGTGTTTTCTTATCTTTAATATAAACTCCTATAAGCTATCCAAGAAGAAAGTTGTAGGAAACTCCATTATTGCTTAGGGAATAACTAAATGTATATTTCATTGCATATTCATAATACATATATTAGTACCTAATACCTTAAAAGGCACTGGCCTAGTGCCTTCAGGCATAACAAAGCTGAATGAAATAGTTGCTGGAGATGACACCTAGCCAGGTGACTTGACTGTAGAAGCAGAATGTGATAAAAATAAGGACAGAAGGATTAGCAGCAGTCCCCAACCCTTTTGGCACCAGAGACCAGTTTCATGGAAGACAATTTTTCCACAGACCAGGGAGGTGGGTTGGGGTGGGTGGTGGTGAGGAGCTCAGGCGGTAATGTGTGGCTGTTTCCTAACAGGCCACGGGCCGTGGCCCCGGGGTTGGAGGTCGCAGGTCACTGAAGGACATACCAAAAGAGGGTTTGCAAGAGCTTGTCCACAAAAATCAATCTATTCAAAGATACCTTCCATATCTTCCCCTGCCAGGACCAGGCATAGGAAAGACTCAAGATCCTAATTTTGTACATGGTATTTTATACAGGACTCAGCAAATTTTAGTCAGTGTATTATTTTTTTCATGAAACTCATTTTCCATCCATGTCTTCCATAAGTCAGAATCTTGATTTCTGCAAAGTAGTGCCTATTACATTTTCTTAAATAAGACTTTGACTTTGATTGTACAGATGGACCTTGACTTATGGTTTCTGACTTCATTTTGGTGCAAAAG